CCCCTACCCTCATGCTCCCAATTAGCTCAGGATTTCATGCCACTTCCCAGTCCTGGGTCCATTTATCACTTAGAGTCCTTCATGTTTCCTAGTTTCTTTGGTGAAGAGGATTATAGGCTGGGAACTCTTTGCTCGCTCTATGTCTAAAATTCATATATGAGTGAGTACATACTATGTTTGTCTTTTTGTGACTGGGTTACCTCACTCAGGATGGTTTCTTCTAGTTCCATGCATTTGCCTGCAAATTTCAAGATTCCGTTGTTTTTTTCTGCTGAGTAGTACTCCATTGTATAAATGTATCACATTTTCTCTATCCATTTTTCAGTTGAGGGGAATCTAGGTTGCTTCCAGGTTCTGGCTATTACAAACAATGCTACTATGAACATGGTTGAACATATGTCCTTGTTGTATGAGCATGCACTATTTGGGTATATACCCAAGAGAGGAATGGCTGGATATTGATGTAGACTGATTCCCATTTTTCTGAGGAACTGCCATATTGATTTCCAGAGTGGTCTTACAAGTTCACACTCCCACCAGCAATGGAGGAATGTTAGTTTTTCTCTACATCCTCGCCAGCATGGATTGTCATTGGTATTTTTGATTTTAGACATTCTGACAGATGTGAGGTGGTATCTCAGAGTTGTTTTGAGTTGCATTTCTCTGATGGCCATGGATTTTGAACATTTTCTTAAGTGTCTTTCAGTCATTTCTCTATTTATTTCTGCACCCCACTTTTAAATTTCATTGTTTGGTGTTTTGGTGGCTAGCTTCTTGAGCTCCTTATATATTTTGGAAATCAGCCCTCTGTCAGATGTGGAATCGGTGAAGATCTTTTCCCATTCTGTGGGTGGTTGTTTTGTCTTACTGACTGTGTCCTTTGCCTTGCAGGAGCTTCTCAGTTTCAGGAGGTCCCATTTATTAATTGCAGACCTTGATTTCTGTGCTACTGCCGTAATGTTCAGGAAGCAGTCTCCTGTGCCAATATGTTCACGGGTAATTCCCACTTTCTCTTCTAGAAGACTCAGTGTGGCTGGATTTATGTTGATATCTTTGATCCATTTGCACTTAAGTTTTGTGCATGATGACAGGCATGGATCTATCTGCAATTTTCTGCATGTCTGAATCCAATTGTACCAGTACCATTTGTTGAAGAGGCTATCATTTTTCCATTGTATAGATTTAGCACCTTGGTCAAAAATAAGGTTTTCGTGGGTGTGTGGGTTAATATCAGGGTTTTCAATTCAATTCCATTGGTCTGTCTATTTTTGTGCCAATACCAAGCTCTTTTCGGAACTATGGCTCTATAGTAGAGCTTGAAATCAAGGATGGTGTTGCCTCCAGATGATCCTTTATTGTAAAGATTTGTTTTGGCTATCTTGCTTTTTTTTATTTTTCCATATAAAGTTGAGTATTATTCTTTCAATGTCTGTGAAGAACTGTGTTGGGATATTGATGGGGATTGCATTGAATCTGTTGATTGCTTTTGGCAGGATTTCCAATTTTATTATGTTAATTCTACCTATCAAAGAGTCTGGAAGATCTTTCCATTTTCTGGTATCTTCTTTAATTTCTTTCTTTAAAGTCTCAAAGTTCTTATTGTACAGGTCTTTCATTCTTTGGTTAGTGTTACCCCAAGATATTTTATGTTGCTTGTGGATATTGTGAAAGGTGATGTTTCCCTGATTTCTTTCTCATTGGATTTATCTTCTGTATATAGTAGAGCTATTGATTTTTTGAGTTAATCTTGTATCCTGCTACCTTGCTGAAGGTGTTTATCAGCTGTAGGAGTTCCATGGTAGAGGTTTTTGGGTCACTAATGTAGACTACCATGTCATCTGCAAATAGTGAAAATTTGACTCCTTCCTTTCCAATTTGTATCCCTTAGATCCCCTTTTCTTGTCTTATTGCTCTAGCTAGAACTTCAAGTACAATATTGAAGAGATATGGAGAGAGTGGAGAGCCTTGTCTTGTTCCTGATTTTAGAGGAAATGCTTTGAGTTTCTCTCCATTTAGTTTGGTGTTGGCTATTGTTTTGTTGTATATTGCGTTTATCATGTTTAGATATGTTCCTGTTATTCCTGTTCTCTCCAAGATCTTTATCATGAAGGGATGTTGGATTTTGTCATTTGTTTTTTCAGCATCTAGTGAGATGATCATGTGATTTTACTTTTTCAGTTTGTTTATATCATGGATTACATCTGCTACCTTGCTGAAGGTGTTTATCAGCTGTAGGAGTTCCATGGTAGAGGTTTTTGGGTCACTAATGTAGACTACCATGTCATCTGCAAATAGTGAAAATTTGACTCCTTCCTTTCCAATTTGTATCCCTTAGATCCCCTTTTCTTGTCTTATTGCTCTAGCTAGAACTTCAAGTACAATATTGAAGAGATATGGAGAGAGTGGAGAGCCTTGTCTTGTTCCTGATTTTAGAGGAAATGCTTTGAGTTTCTCTCCATTTAGTTTGATGTTGGCTATTGGTTTGTTGTATATTGCGTTTATCATGTTTAGATATGTTCCTGTTATTCCTGTTCTCTCCAAGATCTTTATCATGAAGGGA